ATCGGTTTACCATGCGACAATGACCATTTAAACAACAAAAAAATAAAAAATAAAAAAAAGCTCATATTGTACCCCTAAAAAGTCAAAAAAATAAGTTTGGGGATCAAATGTGAGTCTCACTTTTATCTCCACCAAACACCACCTCGTATTCCACCTTCCTCACAACCTCCTCCGTCAATGTGAGTTTTTTTTTGGCACAATGTGAGTTTTTTTGGTCTAAATGGTCATTGTCGCATGGTGAAACGGTTATTACAGGTTGACAGAGACTAAAAGAACAAGTTTTATCCTAGTTTAGGGATCCATAAAACCCAAAAAAATCTTTAGAGACTGGATCGACCAACCCTTGAAATTTTGTACGACATTTGTGTCATTTGACCTTTAAAATATGAACCTCATGTGAATCAACATCAAACACACACTTGAGATAATAATATTTCGATGTGGGAAAGTTCATACACCAAACACGTCAACTAGGCTTTAGGGATAGTGATATGGTGTTCGTGATCCCTGATAGTCCACAACCAGATAAACATGTTTCGTTATAATCTATTTATTTTGTAGATTTGGGATCCACTACCATACATCTCTTAAGAAAGTATAAGTGTGGAAGGATTAAACATGTCAAATGGCATAATAAATGTCACGAGTCTTGCAAGTACCAAAAAGTTTGGTTGAGATTAAAATTGGTAACATGAACACCTATCTAAATGTGAAAGACGAGAGGTTTTCGTCACTCACCACTATTAAGAAAGAGTAGGAAAATAAATGATATAGCTTAGTATTGTAGTATTTGATTTTTGAGATAATAAGAATCAAATGTTTCATTACATTTATTTGTCAAACCATCCATTAAGCTAAAAAATTAGCGTCGAAAAAGTTGTACCATTTTCCAAGCTGGTTAACATACTTGGATAGTACTCCTTAACTTGATCTCAAGGATGTAAGATTCCTACAAACCTGACTCCAGAGGAAAGAGTTGTGGATTTCATAAAAATAGAAATTAATCACGTAATTAAAATTATTCACGTTAAAATGGTACTTAGAGATTGGTTGATTTTTGACTAAAAGTACAAAAAAGAGTTTCGTACAACTTCTTAAGATATAAACTTTAGGACAAAGTTTACCGAAAACGTGATCCATATGAGAGATATATGATTTTTTGTAAAGTCATTTATTTTTACCCCCGTTAGGCATCAAAATAAAAGTCAAAACTAGCTAAAACAACCTAAATGAGAGTTGTAGTACCCATTGAGATTATCACATTGATATAGAGAGGGCATAGATCGGAGCTTGTACGAAGAAGTTATGATTTTTACAAAAATCTTTTCGTGCACTTGAGGTGCGTATCTCCGCATGCCGCGCACCTAACACCGGATTCAAGCATATTGCGAGTGACATGGCCAATTTGGGAAGTGACACGTGACATTCTCTGGATAGAGCCACGATGGTCATGTGCGATGCGCATAGATATTTGCGTCGGGCGCACCCCAAATCCATGACTATAAATAGAAGGCTCTGTAGAACACTTATGCACACCTTCAACCATTACTCTCTCTACATTTTCGAAAGTTTCTTCCCTTAGAGTGGTCCCTGGAGTCCCAAGCCCGATTTAACCCTACATCAAAGGTTTCATGCGACTAGGGTGAGTTCACGGTCCCTATTTTACTAGATGCTATAATGACCAAATCCCAAGGATAACATAGTACCTAGAAGTTATGCTGGTCTAATGTAGGAATATGAACTGTACCTAATTGTTACTTTTCACAAATGTCTTGTTTTCAAATAACCATAATTAGGGTATATACATGAATGCTTATATATACAAAATAATTATGAGATCAAAAGTTATAATTATCAAATATAAGATAAAATATTTATATTGTGGTAAGTATAGGAAATCCCTATGAAAGATAAAAGATAAACGACAAAAGATAAAAGATAAAAGATAAATACATAAGGTTAACGCGTTAGGAGCTGTTAATATTCATCCAAAGGCCTTAATTAAATTCGGCATTCCCGGGTCTATAATCATCAATCTTGCGAGAGATAGAAAGATATGTGTAGATCTATACGGGGATTGACACTCCCACCTACAATTGCAAGCTACAATCCCGACAGGATAATTTTCTTATTATTCACTTGTAACATCCTGACTCTCATGTATAATATTTAATTAATTTGCATTCATGTTGTCAGAGCAACTCGATGGGTTGGAGGCCCCAACTCGCCGAGTAAAGAATTTAATGGCCGCATGATTTTTAGAGTCTACTCAACGTGTTAGAGGACCCCAACTCGATGAGTAGGGATTGAGTGTGAAAAACCTAATTTTTAGGGTTTGTGTCATATTTAAAGGACCTTAAGCCTTCATTTTCGCATCCATTGTCACTTTAACACCCTGAGAGAAACCCTCAACGAGCTGGTATCATCTGGGAGAGAGAGAGAGAGAGAGACTCAAAGTGTGTGATTTGGTGCATTCTTGGAAGGAGATAGAAGAGCATAAGGCTTGGAATGAGAAGAAGCTCTTGGATCTAGTATTATTCTAGTACTAGCTGCTATTTGGAGGTAAAAAGCTATCACCTTGATCATTTTTTGGTTAGATATCTTTTTTAGGGAATCTGTGGCCATTTCCATCTTCCTTTTTAGCCTTTGAGTTGTTTGAGCTGGCCATGGAGTTGAGACTTCAGATATAGACACTGTGAGGTCCCTTAGGCCTAAGGATTCAAGATTTATCAAGCTATTGGCCAACTTTCATTCATCAAAACCCTCTATAGAGCTTGTTTTGGCATTTTGAGCCCTAGATGCCATGCATGGACGTAAAGCTTGCAGCTTTACGTGATATTTTAGCCTTAGAAGGCAAGATCTAGAGTATGAGGCCTTATTTATGCTTAAAAACGTCTGAGTGAGATAATAAACTGAAGGGACTCAACGGGTGGATGAGCCAACTCATCGAGTTGACTAGGGTTTTCCCCGATGGTCTAGATGTGTTACAACTCGGCGAGTTGGTGATACAAATCGATGAGTTGAGTTGGATTTTCCCAATACTTCAGAGAAATGAACGAACTCAACGAGTCGCATAGATGCACTCGATGAGTTAGGTCAACATGGATTGTTGACTCGAGCGTTGACTTCTATTAACTTTTAGGGTTTTGTCAAGACATGAGTTAAGGAGACTATGGAAGGGTAAAATAGTCTTTCACCTTTTCCGAGAGTGAGGAAAGAGGTTAGCCTAACTTTGTAAGAGTTGTGATTATAACGTGTTAACTAAAGATGATTATATTATGTAGGCAGAGTCTAGACTATTTGTGGGGTACTAGATCTACTTGCTTACTTACGAGTTGAGTCTTCTCACTATACTTACCTGAGCGGTAATACAGTGTGATCGGAGGGTCTTATTTTAGTTATCGACTGGAGGGTCCTCTGTGCTTATACTAAGTTATGTGATATTATGCATTTTGTCTTTGTGATATATGCTATATTATTATGTTCCTTACTGAGTTAGGACCAGAGGGTCCAACCCGAGTTGTGAGACTGGAGGGTCTTTACTGTGATACAAGACTCGAGCATCCAACCTGAGCTGTAAGACCAGAGGTTCTTCACTGAGACACATGACTGGAGGGTCCCACCGAGCCGTCAAACCAGAGGGACCTCACCGAGACGCATGACTGGAGGGTCCATGCCGAGCTATAGCTATGAGAGACTTATTATTTGTGTATTTGGTATTTTGGGGAACTCACTGAGCATTGTGCTTACCGTGTTGTGTGATCTGTGTTTCAGGTACTTCTCATGATTGCGGGAAGGTGCCAGCTTGATTGTATACACCTGTTCGAGATTATGTTTGAGGATTTTGGGATATTATCAGTCATTTTGTTGATTTGTTTTTTGACAACTGATACATTTGTGGTTTTCGAGAAAAGTGATATTGAGTTTTATGTGGTTTAAAAATGAAAATTTTGTTTGAAAATTTAGAGTGTTACATCACTATTCAAAGTCCAATTAAGCGTCGTGGCAGGGCAAATTATTATTAAAAAAACATCGATTTTGAGGGCTCATGGTAATACATTATAGAAAACTTATAGATTCGACTACCATTAGGAACACATTAGAGTGGTAGATAAAATACGTTAGGGTAATTAGATATCCTACAAAGATAGTAATTTTGGATTAGTAAATATATTCTAAGAAGATAATAAGATAGGATAGTTAGATATCCTAAAAGATAGTAAGCCAGGGTTGATAAAATAATTTAAGAAAGGTTTTTCTAAAAGAAAAATGATTCTTAAATTAATACAACCAAATAAAAGTTGAAAACTATAAAAACATGTGCACTCACCAACACCAGGTGGGGGTGTGATAGATTGATATCAGAACTACAGGTTATAGCGAACTAGTAATTCCTTAGGAACTACGACTATAACCTAGGGCATAAAACTCTAAAAAATATTATTATTAATTATCATACGGATAGACTACTTTCGGGAAAGGTGCCTAAGCTGGAAAAGTTTGTCGTTTGGGTTGCTAGATTTCAGAACGGCTATATGATAAAATGGACATGCCCTCCGTATTTTCCTACCTGGTCGATCCTTGCTTAGTGGTCTTGAAGTACACTAACATAGAGTTAATAAAATAACCTAATCAAACACTAATCAAATAAAGAGTTATATAAACTCTTGTAAATGCATTTGTGTATCATAAAAACTATCCATTCCAATCACAACTTAAGATCTTAGGTCAAAAAAGAATCCCAGGGTTAGTCTAGTGTTGCGGCCAAACCACAACTAGACCTAGAATGCACAACTAAGTTTTATTATGATCTGACCGACGCATGCCTAAACCTGGATGTCGTAGTTAACAATCTAAATGCTTAAGGATTTATGGATCCGTAGTTTAGTATGCCTAGTTAAGAGATTAGGACGAGGCCTATGACTAAAGGATCTTTGGATCAGTAGCATAGATCGACTCCCTGAAGACTAGAGCCTTAAATGAAGGCCTAATACAAGAGGATGGTACACATTGAGGATATCTAGAATAGAGACAGACATACAACATACCTCCCATATAGAAAGTAACCTAAGATACGGTAATATATATATATATATATATATATATACACACACACACACACACACCCCATAATAGCAAATTATATGTATTATATATTATTTCTCATAAACATATACATGTTTGACGTCTTATGCAAGAAATCAGAGAGATATGGAGAATATATGGGACTGGGTATTGCATCCTTATCCAGAAGAAAACCAAGTGGTGCCATCCATGCCCGAGACTGAGAGCGATTACAATCTGATGATGCCCCTACCACCTACATCAATAGCAGCTGACGCAGAGCCATTTAAAGATGAGGAAGAACCCAATGAGGAGGAGCAGCCTAGCGATGAGATCGATGGATTACCTATAGACAATTCGCCCTACCTAGATTCATCTTCCCAATAAGATCATGAGGAGACTCAGGATGAGGAACCTATTAAGTCAGAGTCATCCCTAAAGACTGTTGCCCTATTTCCCCCATCCTCCCTCAGTATTCATGCTTCAGGACGCGAGACTATCACTACCCTTAGAAAGTCCAATCCATCCCATCCTATAATATGGCAAACTCACCACCTTTATCCCTAAATCCATCAAAGAAACCTTTCCCCACCTACATATGGACAACCCAAGTGGATGATTGGATCGAGGAGGATAGTATTGGGTTTTATGATATCAAAGAGTCATCCCAGGCACCGAGGTGCGATTCTATCCCACAAATCGAGCAATCTTAGTGTTAATCCTACGTGTAGTACGACACGAGGATCGCATACATAAGGTGGAGGATGATCGCAACTCATTGAGGAAGGAGGTCAGGTTGTTAGATGGTAACATTAGGGAGTTAGAGCAGGGGAGAGATTATGACAAGATGAGGATCCTCCATGCTTATGATCATCTGGAGGAGACTCATTCTCAAGTACAATAACAGCCAGTTGTGATTGCGAGTCTTGAGTAGCGTGTGAAAGAGATGAAGTTGAGGTTGGTAATGTCATAGATAGTTATTGCAAATATAAAGGTGATGATCAGTTGCCTTCAGCATTAGTTAGCGCAGATTGTGGCTTGAATGTTAGTTTGTTTTGGGTTGTGGTAGAGCGTTCTAGCCAGGGGAAGCTAGGAACTATGATTTTGGGTTTGAGGGATGGAATAGTAATGTAGCTGATGATTGGAAAATTCTATGTACTTCAATGTAAAATAGACACCTTTCCTGATCAAACCACACCATTGTACACTTTTTTTGGAAAATATAATGTAAAATTTGTGGAGATTAATGAAATTTGTGTGATTTTAATGTTTATTGTGTTACTTGTTTGATTGTTTTCTTGATATAGTTACCTCTCTTAACTAAACTATCAAAGTAAAACTCAAAAATTTATCATAACAAATAACATATGACATAAAATTTAGAATCATGCCCAACACTAAAAGGAACCGGCCGCGACAACCTGAAACCAATCCCGAGCCTATGAGCTCAGCCGCAATTGAGGCATTTGTAGCCCAACGCGTAGCTAATTCCATATAAAGCTTAGAAACCCTAGGAAGTTAGGATCAGGAGGCATTGGAGGTGAGAGTTCTCAAGGAGATAATCGAGGTCTAACTAGAGTCTATTCATATAAATATTTCATGAGCTATAATCCAAAACCATTCCATGGAAATAAAGGCGTATTTGGGCTAACTAGATAGATGAAAAATATGGAGTTTGTTGTTGAGATAAGCTTCTGTCTAAAGGAATATAAAGTCAAGTTCGCCGCCTTAACCCTGTCAGACATAACCCTAAGCTGGTGGACCAGTTACACAAGGACCATACGCATTAATGTAGAAACACCATGTCTTGGAGTGAGTTGAAGCAACTCATGATTAGGAAATATTGTCCACACGAATAGATGCAGAACCTGGAGCAGGAGTTGTTGAATCCTGCGATGTAGGAAGTTGATGTTGCCTTCTATACAAGTCATTTCAATGACCTTGCCGCCTTATGTCCCAGGATGGTTATTGTAACATCCCAAAAATTTTAGACAAAAATTTCATTTTTAATTCATTTCAAAACATCCAATAATCATGTCCAAATAAACAAAAGTGTATCATAGTGAAATAATATTAGAGTATAAAATCCGAAAAATCACATAATGATGAAAACAAAAGTGGGTCCTTCCCTTTCGAGATGGAAGTACCTGAAACATAAACTAATTATGTAAGCACAAAGCTTAGTGAGCTCCCCTAAAATACCTCATACCATACATATATAATAGTTAAAACATAATTGGGTCTATTTCACCCCCCCTTCGGTCTCTTTCAACCGGTAATGGGTACCCCCCCTTCGGTCTCTTTCAACTGGTAGTGGGTATATTTCACCATTTCGGTCTCTTTCAACAGGTATCAGGTCTATCTCACCCCCTATTGCTAGCATACAATCATAACAGCAAGAGTCAAAGAGACAACAATCATACAGATACATAGCAGGAAATTGTAACAAAGACAACTATTATCCTCTAAACATAATTCAGTGGGCCAACATAGCTGCTTTCGACCCATGAGTACAGTAAAGGAAGCTCACCTCAGTCTAAAGATGAAAAAATCACACTCGGGCTTATGAATCTCAAAATCCTCAAACTAAATCATAAATACGAGAATCCTAATTAGCAATTAGGTCATTATTCAAACTAGAAGTCTAAATCCTTAATCTCAACTCTTAAGGGTAAAAGACTATTCTCCCTTCTAATATTGGGCCCAACATCACGTGTTCCAAACCAAACTAGCCTAAAGACTTAAAGAAATACAGTGCCTAATATGGTCCCAAATCCATAAAGGCCCAACTCAGAAAGACTTGTAGCCCAACAAGGGCCCAAAACCCTAATGTCCAAGGTGGCCTGAAATCAAAAGCCCAAATGGTCCGGTAATCCTTCACAAAAAAAATACTAAACTGATCAAATCTAGTAGTTCATTTATTTTTGCAAGTGAATTGATAACACCAAACTATACTTTTAATTATATTTAGAGTGATAAGGATGTTTTGAAGTTGTAATGGGTGCTATAGGTTTGGAATATGAGTGTGTCCTTATTATATAACGAGAAAAGAGGACCGAATACCAACTAAAATTGAATGAAAACTACTTTATCATAAGTGATAGAAAGTATACTTAGGTCTTTTATGAAGATGAGATGTGTTTCCATATACCACATTTTGTCTCATCAATCATGTAGGTTCAACATGCTAAATATTAGTGGAAGAGATGTAGCTTGCACCATGTAGGAAGTAGACAACCTGTTATGTACTAATTTTTCATAATTTTTTTTCTTTTAATATATTCAGATGAATTAGAGTATGCATAGATTATGTGGAAAACATGATGATAATGTGTGTGTGTACAATCAAGCCTTTCCCTTCTCATGATTTGAAGAAGTACCTGAAAACAATTATAATCAATTGGGTAAGAACGAAGTTTAGTGGGTTCCCCAAAATACCATATATCACAATACATAGGCATGCATACAAACAACGGCTCATGACCTTTTGTCGATCCACCAATTGGCTCATAACCTTTCGTCGATCCACCAATAATATGTGTATCTTAGACTTATAACTAATCTGCCATTTCGTCTTCAACAGAAGTGTATAGGCTCCTAACCTATCGTAGTTCCACCGTCAACCCCTCACTTAACCGTAATGAATAACTTAAATACAATAACATTTAAGCACATAGAGACTATACTTTCGACTCTACTTAATAACAATAATATGATAACATTAAGCACATAGAGATTATAAATTCGACTCTAATCTACTATCTCTTATAACCTAACATATATGGATATATATATATATATATATATATATATATATATATATATATTAATACATTGTATAGTGAGATTACTCACCTGATTGAGGTGGAAGATTCTCAGGAAGCTAGTTCCTAGGCTAATTCTCCATCTTATCTCTTTTAAACAACCTAAGTAAAAATATTATTGTGCTTCAGTATTTGTTTGTATTTATAGTATTTCCTAGATTCCTCAACTCCCAATGAATACATCAAGACCTATCAAATTAAGAACAACCAGGTAAGATCATATCGGCGGTAGGGTCCGTTTGGTATATGGAGTATACTTTTTGGAAATCTCACTTTAAACACCTCACTAAATCTATCCTAACATCATTCTTGTAAGTAGATCAATCAGTATTATGACTAGAATCATTGATAAATCTTATCTATAAATTCAAAATCAAGACTATGAATATAAATATAAGTTATAGTTAAAGTGTAGTAAGTATCGCTTAACTTACACAAATTTCTAGTGAAAACCAGAATCTGTGAGGACACACTCTCACCTGAAAGCTTCTATTTTGCCGGGCTCTCTAGCGCTCCAGAGCTTCACTAAAATACTTCAAAAAAGCTACGAAAAGTCAGACTCAAGAGGGAGGGAAAAAGGATTGAGAGAAAGTTTTGAATTTTTAGGAAATGAAAAGGATTCCGCAGCTATTTATAACAAAATAGAGATAACATGCTACACCATCTCTAGGGGCACGCCTCATCCTTCATCTACAATGATCCTGCCAAAGTATGCCACATGTCATCATCCGGTTGGTCCATGTTGCTTTTCGTTATCGCTTTCATCCAAGCCACATGTCATCATATCGTGGTGCCACATGTACTAATCTCGTGTTGCCATGTCATCACAAGCAGTTATTTTCTAAAATCTTTGAAAGGCCATAAATTTCGCTTACAAGCACTATCATCGATGTTCTTTATATCCATACGCAGGTAATTCTAAGTTGTACAACTTTCCTTTAGACCTCAACAGCTAATTGGCACTTTATTTTATATATATATATATATATATATATATATATATATATATATATATATATATATATATATATATATATATATATATTATATATAGATTAGACTATTAAAGTCTGAACAAAATTCAAAACTCCTTACGAACGCCTTTCTCGAATGTCTCTATATCGACAGGTTCATAGTTACAAGATTTCAACTCTCATTTACATTGTTTTGGCTAATAATCAAATGTTCTAAATCTCGATTTATGTGTCACACACTGTTATATTATGTCTCATCAAAACTTCGAAAAACTATAACTTCCTCATACGGAGTCAGATTTGGACGTTCTTTATATGCATTCATTCGCTTTTATGATTACTATGACTTTTTTAGATTACTTAGGCTAATGATCAACCTATCTCCAATTCACTTTTTAAAACTCTTTTTGCCGTATATGGTTGAATGTGAAACTTCAAAAAACCATAACTTCTTCATACAAAGTTAGATTTAAGCGTTCCTTATATCACTACAAGAAAAACAACCTTTTACGACGTGCAATTTACGAGGCGCACCGATTAACGATACGCAAAAGTGTGTGCCCTAAAAAAATGTCAGATCTTCAGAAATTTGAAGAATTTTGGACGCGTATTTTTGCGTGCCCCTAAATTTGTGTCAAAAAAAACACGGAGGTCACTTATTAAAAAGAGCGTGTCGTATAAGCATGTCGTTTTATAATTTTTTAGGAAACGCGCGTTCTCTGTTAATAAGGGGGAAACGAAATCCTAAAAGTCAAAAACCCTGCCTTGTGTTCTTTTCACCCTTGTTTTCACCAATCGAAAATCCTTTCTCCTTACAAGCCATACGTTCGATTGACGCAGAAGCAGGTTCGATTCTTCTCTTATATGTTATCTTAAGCTTGATTTTCGATATTAGAATAGAATGTAGGGGTTATTTTTTAACTATCCTAAATTCCACAAAATCGCAGGAACCATTCTTGCTTGGGCTTCTTTCAAGAACGAAGCTCTCAGTGTTCTCTGGTCTCTACAACAATCATCGATCATGACTGTGCTTGAATAGTTGAATGTACCGCTTTCTCAACACGCTTTCTTGCTCATATCTGTATCTGTTTATCCCTTATGACTTCCACACACAAAAACTATCGATCATGAAACGTCTTCAAGGTAATCGTCATCCTCCCTCTTCTTCTCTCTCCTCTTTTGTTACGGTCGAGCAACCTACCGCCTCCACTACCACCATCACAACCTTCTAGTATGCTCTGCTTCCATCACTTTATGAGAAAAAACCTAAAACCTTCTACCACCATCACATCGATGCTTCACCTGCTAAATCAATAGTTACGACAACTACCTCGTCAGCCGACGATCCCAAGCAAAACCTAAACCATGTCATCAATTCAATTTAGAAAACCCTAGGAACCATCCATCGGCTCTACCTCACTATCTCTTCCTTCAATGTTTCCTCCCAACTCCCGCTTCTCCAACGCCTGTAAGTTCTATACCTGTGTATTTATCAATTTGATGTATTTTCTAAACACAAGCGTGTTTCAAGATTGCGATACTGACTAGCTATGTCAAATAAATTCTTAATCAAATCATCTGCTTTTACTTATGGAATCTGGATATTTTTTTTCTCTGTATGCACAAACACACTTGTTATGGAGATGGATAATATGGCAAAAGTGGTACCTCTCTTTGTGTCTGCACATAAGGTGTTTGGTAAAATGCCCCAAAGAGTATTTTTTTCTGATTACAAATTTTTTTATGTTTAGGTACAAGTCAATGCTAAAGAAAGGGTCGGAAGATGGTGTTGTTGTGGACTAAACAAATTTATACAATCAGTTTTTTGTTGCTAGTGGAGAGGGGAATACAAAAATAACTACAACTCGTTTTCCCTTTTTTGATGGTGATTATTGGTCAAGTATCTTCGGTAAGATCTCGGTTGGGGGCGTAGGTATCTTCTTTTATTTCTGTTCATTTTGTTATTGCCATCATAGTAACACTTGCACTATTCTATATTACAGAAAAAAAAAAAAAAAAAGTCAAATAAGGTACCCATAATTATTGGAGCAGTTGCGGTGTAGGCCTCTTCTTTCTTGTTATTGCTTTGGGATTATATTATCTTATATGGAAGAAGTCTAAGAGGACTAAAGAAGGTAATTCATGTGTGTATATATATATATATATATATATATATATATATATATATATATATATATATATATCATATGTATGTATTTAATGTATTAGCATTTGACTAATCCCATGGAAAGAATTTAAAATAAATGTAGCTGACAACGCTTGCATTACATACTTGTTTGTATTGAAGGGAAAAATTGTTGCTTTAGGGTAATATATATTGTTTAAGTCATAATTGTTTGTATTGAAAATTTCTTTTTATGTGTGTGTGTGTGTAAGTAGGTATTCAATACATTCAGCAGTCGTATAAAGTCAGTGAAGCATTTCCATTTAAGTGGATAAATAAAAAATGGAGAGAGGGGTTTCATGTCACTACTATGGCAACTGCAGGAAGTAAATGGGAAATTGTTATGTCCCTTGGTGCTGGATTTTCTAATCAGGTTTTTTCTTTTTCCAGATTTTAATAATAGTTTTGATAGTAGTTTTAGAATAACCAAATGAATGAAAGCACATTGGTATTTAATTTGTATGCATATTTAAGTGTAGATGTGATGTGAATTCAGGTTGTGAAGCTGGACTTTTTGTATCCAAGTGAAGGTATTCATAGAAGATGGGATGGTGGATATAGGATAACATCAACCACTGCTACGTGGGACCAAGCTGCTTTTGTTCACAGTGTCCCCAGAAGAAAGCCTGCAGACGAGACACAGGAAACATTGCGCACTTTCGCTTTTCCTAGTACACATGTTAAGGTCAGCTGTCACCTTTCCTTTCCTGTTTTATTATTACAATAATATCAATGTTACATACTCCCCGTTTGTTATGCATGACATGCATTTGCAATTTGTTATGTCTAATTCTAATGTAAAAAGGTGGAACAAGGAGGTAGGGGTAGGTTTTTGCTTTTCATCTCTTGTATGTGCAAAGGCTGAAAATGCTCTTTTCATCTTTCATCCTTTCTCATGGAAAATATCCCTTTCTAGGGCTGTTTTTGATGATGGAGAAGGGTGTTTTTGCCTTTTCCACATACCAGAGATTAGAAGCAAATCCCTCTATGGTTCGATCTCTTTGTTCCACCTTTTGCATTTAACACAAAATTTGCAAATATTGCCTCATTGATCTCAATGCATGTCAAACACAATAGTTCTTGTTATGTCATATCAAGTGTAACTAACCTGACCTTAGCTTGCTTATTTATTTATTTATTTGAGTTGATTTAATAAATAATACTAATATAATGAAACAGGAAAAATGGGGGAAGAATCTGTATATTGCTTCAGTTTGTTATGGTCGGGCAGTGTCATGAGATGTCACAGTTTAGTTTTTGCCTTCATCTACATACAGATATGTGCTTAGAGTTGTGAATTCAGATTTTTCTTAAGTAGGAGCTGCTACTACTTACTAACTGATGTAAAAGCAAGTTTTCTCTTTCTTTTTTACCAACTTTATACATATTGATAAGGTTTTGGTTTTGGTTCTGGTTTTGGACTACAATAGCACATGGACTGATGATTTTGCACATAACTTCTTGTCTTTTATCTTTTCTTTTTTATCATGAATGAATGTTATATGTTATTCTTTTCAGATTCTTTCTTGTTTGGATATAATGAAAAATATATCATTTGTAACTATATATGTTTTCACAGGACCAAGAATTGCTCTTTCTTGTGACATCTTAACAAATAATTTTCTTTTAATTGAGTTCCAACTATGTTTTGTTTTATTTTTTCAAATATTATATCTGGAAATGTACATATTTGAAGTAGGTGATGTAGCATTGTTGGATGAGTCAAAAGATGTTGGGGAAAGAAATCAACGCCAAATGGAAACCCTTTATTGTGGTGTTGCTTCAGGTTTTGAGGGAAACCCTTCATTCCTTGACTTTCTTTATTAAGTCTTTTTTTGTGCATTAAGTAAAAAACAAAGTCATTTGTTATTCAACCTCACTTCCACACAAAAGGGTAAAATAATGGTCATTTTCTATTTCATACTAGAACTACTATTACTAACCAGAATGACCTTCGTGAGCAAGTGAAAATGTTATCTGGTCAGGTGGCACTTTGCACTAGTAGCATACTTAACTGATTTGACTTGAAAAAACATGATTTAATTTTTTTTCCTGTTATTTGCAAAGGTTTGGGAATATTGCTGGGGTATTTAAAGTCATGTCGATTTCAATCAGTGCCCTTGAAGAAGGGGAAGTTGACACCGCTTATATGACCAAACTTGCTAAGCTAGCCACTGCTGAGATCATTTCATCAAAGGTAATTTTGGGTCTAGTCTTTTCGGTATTGTTAATATGGTCTTTAAGGGCTGCTGAACATATTCATCAAATTGAATTCTCCTTCATGAAGTTTGAGGTGTTGAGTTTAATTGATTATGATGGTTACTAATTAGTTCTAGTTTTTTCCAAGTCAATATTCAATTAGCATGTGCTTTTTTGGTTATGATATATGTGATGTTTGTCCCTGGACCCTAACCATGTGGATTTCGTGAGCTAAATGTTAACTGCCATGGCATAAAAACATGTTTGAATAATATATGTTCAAATAGGAATATAATTTTTTTAGGAATCACTTATGAACAAAACTCTAAATTATTAAATTATAAATATAGATTATTAATCTGAAAATAGATAAGGTGACATAATCGTAAAAAAACAAATTATTGAAATGTATTCACCATTTAATAATTGTGAATTCATTAAGTTTACAGTTTGATATATAATAGCTACAATAAAATGGGTTATACTGTGTGGTATGATATATTACAGGAGGGGCTTTGATGCTTCAGAGTTATTTAGAGAACATATCACTATGAGGTAAGTACTCTTTAGCCTAATAGGATTATTAGGCGGCAATATTCTAGACCTTTGTGCTTATTATAAGTATTTGTTTGTTATCTTTTCCGTTCTCTATCAACAGTAGCTCAACCTCAAGCAGCACTTTCACCTCAAGGTTATGGCTTTAATTTTTTTTATATCCAGGAATGAGGCACTTCGAGTTGCTTTCATACATGTTGAAGAGTTTCCAGGTGGTGATGGAAAGATCACAAAGTCATCTTATTCGAAGCTTGTGAAAGCTGATATCAATGGAAAAGACCAGGTATCAGTTACTTACTACATGCAAAACCTCGGTCCTTTTCAACCAACTGATTAATGATTAAATATATTTTCTAGATTGTTCCTTTCTCAAGTGGGGAAAAGTCAAAGGTTTTAGATTCCACCCAAATCTTCATGGAATTGTAACGATAGAATCTGCTTCGGTAAGTATACTTTGGTGTTATACTTCATGGAAAAGGGTTTTGAGTTAGAGGTACATATGCTTTTAAAGTTTTGCTTTTTTACACCATTTGTTGCACCAAATTTGGTGTTATACTATTCCTGTGTACAATTTAGTCCTTCAAGTTTGAGTTTATACATTTTTAGTTAGTTTAAAATTTACAATTATATTTCAAATCTAATATATGAACTTGTAATATTATGTTATATACTATATTGATATTAACTAATCATATATATTTAAAAATACTTTTATGTTTCAGGTTTATGGTCCTGAAGCAGATATATGGAGTGCTGGTGTGATTCTTTACATTCTTCTTTGTGGGGTCCCACCTTTTTGGGGAGGTAAGTCTAAAGGAATAAAAGACTAATAAGTTAATAAGTTAATAACTTATCAAATGCTCTAATTTCTTTTTAGTGACTGAATTCATGATAGAATCTGAAAATGAGATCTTTGAAGAGGTTTTGAGGGGTAAACTCGACTTCTCCTCAGATCCATGACCTAGTATCTCTGAAAGTGCTAAAGATTTGGTTAGGAAAATGCTTATTAAAGACCCCAAAAGACGAATAACAGCTCATGGCGTTCTTTGTAAGTCTTGGTTGTTATAAAATTTTCCTATAAGTATTATTTAGGCTTCTTATTGAACATTATTTATGATTAGGCCATCCATGGATCAGCTAGGCTTCTTAAAATAAGGTGATTATTTATATTTTTAATGCTAGCATGGTATATAAATGCTATGTTGGATTAGTCTTATGCTAGCATGGTATATGAATGCTATGTTGGATCAGTCTAATGCTAGCATGGTATACGAATGCTATGTGATTAGGCTTAATGGAGGTAAGAAAATATCAAATTAAAGAAATAAGCTTTTAAAGGACTAGTTTATTGTACAAAGAAGATATTCTTGTCATTGTGATTTTCATTGTTAATATCAGGTAATTCATATTATAGTGTATTTATTCCAAATCCCACATTCTTTAGATGGAGAAAAGGGTAATTTTGTCTTTTGCAACTAACTTTCCATGTTTGATTCTTCTAATAATTATAATAGCATAATAAGTTTTTGACTTTTATTTGATCAGGTCACAAGAATTATCGGAGCAAGGGTTCATTAGTCTTAAAGAATTATGAAAGGCAAGATGCAACTCTACTTATATTGGTCCTTTAAAATGTTGGTGAGGTGGGTTATGCCTTTCAAGATCTATTGGAGATAGAGATGTTGGGGAGTTCATTATTTCAGATCCTCATGTCAAACAAGTGAAGGTTAGTTTAGTAATTAAACTCAATTTATTCCTCTTTTTATTAACAACTTTTATTTATTCATCATCTTCAACTATCTTCTGCTGGTGGGCGGCTTGTAATTTCAAGTGATGGAGTCTGGGATGCTCTTTCCACTAAATCAGCTCTGGAATGCAGTCGCGGATTGGCTCCGGAATCAGCAGCAGCACAAATTGAATCAGCTTTGGAATGCAGTCGCGGATTGGCTCCGGAAAATTGTCAAAGTACGGAAACAAAAAAAAAATGTCAAATTTGTAATAAAATATTATGCAATGGATTCTATTTTTTGTATATGATATTTTGTATAACATTAAATTTTATGAAATGGATTATATTTTTTGTATATGATATTTTATTTTCTATTATGAGGCATTAAATGCAAATTTAATTTGAAAATTAGTAAATCAATTAAAAAATATTTTTTTTAAACATTTAAAATTATGATACGCAAAAATGTGTGTCATCTTCATTTATGACATGGCCTTTCTTGACAAGGGCTTTCTTGATACGCATTGCGTGTCATTAACACGTGCGTCGTAAGGTTATGACACGTGAATGTGTTTCGTCTTCCTTTATGACAGGGCCTTCCTTGATACGCATTGCGTGTCGTAATCGTTCGTCGTAACTACGCATCGTAAATGAGCGTCGTAAATGCGCATCGTCTCTCTTTATGACAGGGCCTTCCTTGACGTGCATTTTCGCGTCGTCTGAGCCTTTTAAGACGCGCAATGAGCGTCGTAAAAGGCTGTTTTTCTAGTAGTGTATTTACGGAAATCGTATTGACGTCTACTACATTCTGTTATGATTATTTTGGATAAAAAGTAATATATTGCTACTTCGAATTTTATAAACAAAAGGTTATATTAAACTCTATTGTAGAGTGAAATCGGGTGTTACATAACCACTTCTATATAGGTGAGGAGGCTGAAACATGGGCCTATGCAGGATCATAGGACTCATGGTAGTTAGATTGTATTGGACTGCTAAGAAGGCAATGCAAGTCGTTTGGGATTTGCTTTACTAAACTGTAGCATAATTATCTAACCCTAACGTTAGGAGGGATCCCAAGAATAATCTCTAACCCATGACTAGTGATGCACAAAAAAAATAGATATTTGATTAATATCCGATCAATCTGAAATATGATCTTATTAAAAACGAATTTTTACTAATCCAAACCTATAATATGATCTACTGGATTATGACAAAATCCATATCGTTCGAACGGAATCAGATTTAGTACCAAATTGTAAAGTGGATTTGTCAAAAACTTGATCCAGATCCACCCTAAAGTCCAAATCCATTCAGTCGTTAATGACGTTTTAACCGTGGATTGAGATTTGGTTTATATATTTAGAATCATAAAATGAAGACTTTTTAGAGAGAAGTTTTTCAGCGAACTTGGGGCGTGCGTTGTTTCTAAAAGAACAAGCATGGAAGGAGCTTATTGAAACCTAAGGGGAAGATATCCATGACAAGTCAAGCATGGAATGTAGTCGTACTTATCCATTGATAATATAGGTAACTAAGTTTTCTTTTCTAGGACCAGTGAGTTGACATTGGCTAGAAGTTCGGATATGGAATATATTTGGGTTCAATATGTAGTGACAGAGAAGTTGTTGATGTTGATATAACTATCGAGTTGAATAGACTTTGCATCTTTAATATTACGAAATAGATTTCCCATGTTGATCTGTAGGTTTTATGTTTCGGCATTTTGTTTAACGATCATTTATAGTAGAAGTGTGAGCTCGTACCATAATTCCATAGTTTAACAACTGAATCAATATTGGTCCATTCAAGATTGACTGTTTTCGAAGTCTAAGCATCGCTTGAGTTGTCAATGTAATTGATCACTCCAAAACCAATACAATATGTGTCAAAAAGCTCTCTCCATGCATCCTAGAAGAGATGGTCGAGACCAAGAACTAGATGTATGAAGGCTTTAAGATTAGTGATTTTGTAGGGTTTCTAAACAGAACGAAATGAAGTATATTAAGAAGATTCGTTGACTGCCATTGAAACTGAAGAAGATTCGTTGATTGCCATGGAACTAGATGTGAGGTCGACGAACGAAAGACGGGACACAAACAAGGGAGAGAATAGGGTTTAGAATGATCCATTAATACTATATTGGATGATGATTTTTTAATGAAACGATCATTTCTATTAATCAAGTATATATATATATATATATATATATATATATATATATATATATATATATATATATATATATATATATAAATACAAGGATCTATGCTGAACTAATACATAACCGGCCCAAGGTGTGGCTAATATATATATATATATATATATATATATATATATATATATATATATATATATATATGTGGTTAAGTTCAAATGAGAACACTATTTAATGTGAGAACGTGAGAATATTATTTTATGTTACTATTCTACTATGAATTTTGTATATACAACGATATGTCATTATTCATCAACAAATATATGAACAATCACGCATTAATATTCACATTAAAATTTTGTATGTACAACTTTATGATATTATTCATCACCGAGTATAAGAACAGTCACATATTTAACATTCACATTAAAATTTACTAAATTACTACATATATATGAAAATTTTATAGTAGAATAGCAATATAAAATTGAATATATTCATATTATAATTACTACAATACTATACATATTAAATTCATAGTAGAATAGTAACATAAAGTACTGTTCTCACGTTAAATTGTGTTCGCATTTGAACTTAACCCTATATATATATATATATATATATATATATATATATATATATATATATATATATATATATATATATATATATATATATATATATATATATATATATATATATATATACCAACGAACAAATATTTAGAATCCAAACATATTCTCTTACAAAGGTCAAGGCAACATGTCTTTCTCCATTCCTTCACAATTAATATTTACAGATAAAGTAACTTGCAACCATATCCACTCTTTAAATGTTATTCTAAGAATAATTCAGATAAGCATAACGACTATGATAAGAATTTAATGGTAGGCCTCTTCATTTTCAGTGTATTGATGTAAGTATACTCAAAAGTTGAATATTTTTTTATGATAATTTGTTTAAATTAATAATGAGTGTCACATGTTTCTTAAAAAGAATAAAGAAAAATGAGAAAAATATTTAAAATAGGAAAAATGATTATATCATGTTGGTGATGCAACCTACTTTTTATACGAATTATAAAATCGAATTTGGCTCACTTCCTAATCGTATTATCTAAGTTCGAAAATAACAAAAATAAATAAATAAAAATAACTTTATGAACAAATAGTTATTACGATTGTATGAGAAAGGTTGTTGGTTGTTACTCGTGGCAATATAGTAACAATACAATACGTGCACTGATAAAAGAAAATTTAAAATCTCTTTGTATCCTTTTTACGATTAACCTTTTTTAAACCTTTTTTTTACCAGTATATCTGAAATATATAATATCAAAATTAAATCATCTATAAAAACAAGGAAAAATGACTTGTATAAATAACTATATTTCAAAATTGTTCAAAAAATACCATTCAAGTTTGGTGTGTCAAAAAAAATCATCAAAGTAAAGCATTAAAAAAAATAAAAAATAAAAAAATAAAAAAATAAAAAAAAAAAAAAAACACACCAACAAAGTACATTATTTGTTCAAATTTGACCTTGTGTAACCGGCAATTACCGGTAAAAAATAAGTAAAGGAAAAAAAAAAACAAGAAGAAATAACTCAAAGAGTTAACTATGTTTCAAAATCGTTCAAAAAACTTCATCCAAGTTTGGTACGTTCAAAAAACACCATCCAAGTAAATATTTTGTACAAAAAACACCAAACAAGCTATATGTTTTGTTCAAATATTACCTACCAGTAACTGGCTCTTACAGGTTAAATGATGGCTTGGCTTAACTGTTATGACATGGCGTAGTAATTATTGACAAAACAATAAATGATATATTCTTCCTTTAAAAATTGATTTAGGGTTTCTTAATGAACGAATGACTTCATTTTCTCCTATGATTGCTCTTCTTCTTCTAAAGTGATGATCTCAAACTCAAGTCCAAAACCCTAATACTTAACTTAAGGCAGGGTTCCTTTACCCTTGCCTCAATGGGCCTCCCTCCACCAAATGCCTAAATGCATAAAAGCCCAAAATGGCATCCAAGCCCAACTACAAGGCCTTTAAGGCCCAATGT